TCCGAAAAAGTTCGTAAGAATGCATAAGTGGTACTCTCCTTTCCCTCCTCAGGAGTCCCTCAAGGGGCTTCTGTAAGGCTCTTTAGGAAAACGAAAGCCAGGCCAGTACTACTGCACAGCAAGCCAAGCTGCTGCCTGCAGCGCCAACACCCCAAATGAGCATCAGTTTGAGTCCAAGCTGCTCCCGCTTCCAGCTCAACTCCCCGCTCACGCACTGTGAAAGCAGAAGAAGACGGTTCAGTTCCTTGAGCCCCTGCCACCCATATGGAAGAATCTGGATGAAGCTCATGGCTCCAGGTTCCCGCCTGGCCCAGTGCTGGTCACTGTGGCCATCTGGGGAATGAATCAGTAGATGAAAGATACCTCCCTCTTTACCCCACCTCTCTCTCACCCTCTCTAACTCCAATTTTCCAAGTAAATAAATAATTCTTAAACAAAGAAAGCAGACTTGAATTAATATCAAAGGGGGCCAGAAGACCTGCATTTCAGGCTAGGTTTTATCACTCCTTAGCCAGGTGAGTTCAGAGATGTCTAGGTTCCTCTATAAAAGGGGTTAACAATAGTCACTAATTTGATGTTAATGTCAGGATGAGATGAGCAAACAAGCTTGGCACAATACCCCCAACACAGTATGTACTCTGACGAAAAGCCATCTTCCTTGTAGTCTTCAGACTCCACACACAGCCCCCACCCTGACTCCATCCTCATTCGGAGCTGGACTAGTCACTCCCATGAGATCTCAGGGAACAAGACACAAAAAGCAAAGCCCCGAGAACTTGTAAGGTCACCAAACACAGTACTGCCTTTCCCCCAGTTCAAACGGCTCGATTTTAACCTGTGAAGGCCAAGCTGACAAGACAGCGATCCCTTCCTGTGTAAATCCAGGTCAGCTGTCAGCACACAATTGTTCTATTAGGCCAAGTCAATTTTTAGAGGCAGGCCTGTTAAGTGAACTTAAAATGGAGATGAAAAGAAAGTGTTTGATCAAACGCTGAAGTGCAGAGATACACTGACAGGGACACAAGGCAGAGGAATTAGTTTCCTAAAATTATTCCCTGTGATACCTTCAGCTAACATGGGATCTGTGCATACGGGAAGTCCTCCATACCCACCACGACGCTCTCCTCCCAGCCCCTAAGAACCCAAGCAACTGACTTGTTTCTTGCATGTTCTCAAGCTTTCCTCTGGGTTCAAGTCCCTTCAGCACTTTACCTAGGGTCCAGAAAAGTCGATTCTAACAGTTATGAAGTAACCTATCAATCAGGTTCCCTCTACAAAAGAATTTCTCAAGCATTTCCAAATATTTGACTTTAAGGGGGGAAAACGCACTTCCATTTTAAAACCATCTTTCATCTCTAGCAATGCAAATTCTTTGTTTAACCAATCCACATACCACTAGCCAGTGTTTAACTAGGCCTTTATTTAACATCACCAGCCATGTGGATTCCATGGCTAAGTCTCAGTTTCAGATATGATCTCATTAACAGCCACGTATTGGTTCAGTGATGAAATATGTATCAATATGTCTAAGAGCCTCATAAAGTTCCTCACTTTAGTGGGACAAGATCAGTGACTGCCTGACACTAGCACATGGGCGTTAGCATTGCACCAGCACCCTGATAATAAAGGCAGTTCACTGCATTTCATATGCACACAGTGCTTTCACCGTAACCTTCACAGACCGAGATGGCAGTAACAACAACAAAACAACAACTTTTCTTCATACACACTACACTGGTGACCTTGTAATCGTTATTTAAGCCTGAACTGCACGAGGGGAGAATGAACATTCCTGGTGACTAATCCCAAGGCTTGAATTACTATGCTCCCCCCCCATCTCTTCCATCTCTCTCTCTCTCTCTCTCTCTGTCACACATACACACCTTAACAACAAGGTCTCCCTCTACCCCAACCCAAGCAAATGATTGAACAAGTACTGTAATTACACATATCTGGGCAAACCAGGCTACAATCAGGAACCTACTGTATAAACACACACACACACACACACATATATACACATTTTTATTGGCACATATTAGGGAGAGAAAAATCAGTAACACAAACTGACTTTTCACCTTAGAATTCTTTCATTATCTGAAAGGCAGAATTACAGATAAAGACAAGGAGACAGAGAGAAGCTTCCATCTACTGGTTCTCTCGACCAGACAGCAGCAATGGCCAGGGCCTAGCTGGGTCACACTAAAGCCAGGAGCTTCAACAAGGTCTTTCACATGGCTGCAGGGATCCAATGCTTTCCCAGCTGCACCATCAAGAAGTTGGATGGAAGTAAAACAGCCCAGGACTCGAACCAGTACCCATATAGGATGCTGCTGTTGTCTCAGGCCGCAGCTTAATGTGCTATGCCACACGAACCCTTCACCTTAAATTCTGAAAGGAGAGGGACTTCCAAATAGGCTTCTCTTTCTCCCTTACATCCTGAGTAACATTGTAACAGAACTCCACTAGGAATAATAGCAAAGATACAGAGCTAGGAATCAGCTTTCAAGGAAAATCAACTCTAAGATCATAAAAATCAAAGAGCAAATCAGTTGTTTTTTTTTTTTAAGTAAAAAAAATATTTGCAATAGGCATGACCAACCTGAAGCTAAACACTAATTCATTTCTTCTACTTTCTCATTTCTTCCACAAAATGCTGCATTTCCACCCAGCAGAAACATTAGCTTTCCTTACAACTTTTTCAGGGCTGGCCAACAGGGTCATACCAGCTCCATCAATTAGACAGTATTCGAAGAACTAATAAAGCATGCCAGGCTTTGTAGACATACAGAGAGAGAGACACAGAAGAGAGAGAGAGCATCCGGAAAGCCACACTGCACTCCATGCACCAGCAGAGATCCACCTCCAGCTGCCACAATAAAGCTACTGAAGATACAAAGTGCACCAAGAAATGACCATTCAAGACAACTCAGATAAACTCGCCAACATTACCACAGTTGTAAGAGAATTAAGGACACCTATTAGTGATTGCTTAACAGGTAAACTTATTAAATACCATTTAAGTCATTTTTCTTTACTTAGCGATTGTTGACTCAATTTTTTTTTCCCTTTCTGGCTAGACTAATGGACTACAAAAGAGTTAGATAAGCATTTCAAAAAAAGTTTCAAAAGAGAATAGATTCCTTCTGCCAAATTCACACATTATCTCTACTCACAAGGATAAAATGGTTACAAATGGTGTGTTTAAACTGCTAATTTTGTATTAAATGGTGAAACCAAGATTATCTCCAAAGCATAGCGCTGCTCAGAACTGGATAGCTCAGCAGACAAACTACAGTGGCGATAACAGTACAAGCTGAAACACTGCAGGGAAGCACTGGCCACTTGAAAACTTTCCTTCGAAAACGTGACACACCATGCTGAAGTATCAACTCTGCTAGAGCCCTGGGGTATATAGCAAGAGCCTCCAAAGAAGAACTCACGAGGAATAACACTTAAAGACGCACACATCTCGAAAGCTGTGTTAGGAATGTGGAAGACTTGTGTCTTAGACTGAAGACTGTAATTGTCACATTTTATGCGGGCAAGCTGGGCGGGGGGAGTCCAACAGCTTTTTCACAACATTCGTAGTCACGGGACACAAGCGGTATGTTTCCCCTTCTATGGACCAAGCAGGAGTTCAACGCAGCCCACGTACCATCTGCAGGTTTTCGGAACACACCTCTAAAAGTGCCCGGCTGCCCAGCCGCCCAGCGCCCGGCCGGATCCATGCAGGGCTTGGAGTCTGCACCAGCAGCGGTGACAAGGAACAGAAACAAGAAGCCACCACGGCTCCTCTGAGCGGCTAACGCGGTCATTCCACACAGCGCCCTTCTCTTCACCAGTATCACGCGTTTCGGCCCACAGGTAAAGCCCTGCAGCCACTCACGCGACCTCCCTCTCCTGAAACTTTCAAAGACAACCCAAAATCATTTCTAAACACCCCCCCCCCCAATCCGGGCGCGCATATGAACTGCCCTAAGTGCGCTGACCGTCTATTAACAAGCTGGTAAGATTGTAAGCCATGAAGCGGGAAGGCGTTTACCCACGCTACCCATCCGCAAAGGCTCCAGTGGGCCCTACTTAGAGCCTGTCGCTAGCCAGCCAGCTTCCTTTGGAATGCAAACCTCTTTTCTGATGGAGCAAGGTGAAGGAGGCCCTGTCAAGTTGGTGACCCTGCCTCTCGGATTTGAAGCCTCGACCCAAAGGGGAGTAGCCGGGGGGTTTCGCTCCCACCCTTCCGTAATCCCAGGCACGCAGCGAGGGCTGCCTTTCCACCTGGGATCCCCACTCCTCCCGGGCCCAGCACCGCCCGCCCAGCACAGCCAGCACTGCCTGCTGCTGCTTGCCCGGAGCGCCGCCGGAGGGTCAGCACCCAGGTGAGGCGGGAGGCAGATTCCGAAGGAACAGGAAAAAAAAAAAAAAACTGATGGCGAGTGCAGCCCCTAGGACCACCAACTCGTGCAGCTCCCGCAAAAAGAGCATTGCACGGACGGAATGCAAAGCCTGCGACTTAAAACAAGCCACTCCATCCCGTCTGCGCCTGTCTCAAAGTTGGCATTCAACAGGTAGTTTTCCTAGGACTTGCACCTGAGGCAGCCAGGAACGCCCAGCCGGCTCTCGGGGTGGAGGGGGCCTTCTTCGCAAGCCTGGGTGCCGAGCCCACCACCGTCTCCCCCCACCTCACTTGCCCTGCGTCCCGCGCTCTGCGCCCACAGCAGGTCAAGCCCCCCACCCCTCAATACACGTGCGCTCGGGGGGCTCCCCGCGGCGGCGCTCCCTGAGGCCGCGTCCCGCCCGCCCGTCCGCAGGGAAAGGGATGCCGCCGTCCTCCTCGCCGCCCCTCCCGCCTGCCGTGCCCGCCCGCCCGCCAGCCAGCCAGCCAGCCAGCCAGCCCGCGGCGGGGTCGGCGGGCGCAGCCCCCGGAGCCATCTTGTGGCGGTGGCGACGGCGGCGCGGGGGCCCCGGGCGGTGGACCCCGGGGGGGAGTGCAAAGCTACCTGCACGATCTCGCCCTCGGCGCTGAGCGTGGCCCCGGCCCTCGAGAAGCGGCCCGTGAGGCCGGTGGTGTAGGTGGTGTAGTCGCCGCTCGGGCTCGACTCGAACAGGACCACCTCCACGAACGCCGTCTCCTTGGCCCGAGCCGCTCCGGGCCCCGCGGCCGCCAGCAGCAACCCGAGCAGGAGAGGCAGCGGTGGCGGCGGCGGCAAGCGGCGACCGCGGGGGCCGCGGGGGCGGCGGCGGAGGCGGAGGCGGCGGCGACGGCGGCCCGGGGCCCCTGGGCGCCCGCCCGAGCGCGGCCTCATGGTCCTGAGGCGGGAGGGCGCGGAGGGCGGGCGCGGCCGGGCATAGTCGCGGGCCGGCGGAGGACGGAGCGCGGGCGGACGCCTCACAGCCCCATCGCGGCGGCGGCGGCGGCGGCGGCTTTGTGGGTCGCAGGCTCCGCTCGGCTTCCCCGGCAGTCGCGCCGCGGCCCTTTCATCTGCTCCACGTGAGGGGTTATCCCCGCCCCGGCAGCGTCGTGACCCGCTCTCTCCTCCCTCCCCGCGCGCTCGGCCTCGGCCGCCGCCGCCGCCGCCGCCGCTGCCGCCGCTGAGGGGAGCGGGAAGGCGGGGCGGGCGCGCCTGCGGCGAGGGGCGGTGCCCCGCGGCCGGGCACGCCCCGCCCCTCTCGCCTTCGCCCCGCCCCGTGGTCCCGGCTCCGCCTCCCGCCCGCGGCCGACGCTCCGCCCCCCTCTCGTCCTCACCGCGTTCCTGCCGGCCGCCTTGCTCCGCCCCGTGCCACTCGCCCCGCCCCCGCCCGATGTCCTCGCTCCGCCCTCACCCGCCTTCTGTCCCGCCTCTTTAGTCTGGCCCCGCCCCACTCCTCGGCCCGGCTCCTCCTCCTCAAGTGCTCCGCCCTCAGCAAGCCGACATTTCTCCTCGCGGTTGCCAGAGTTCGGCGGGAATGGGGTAGCGCAACCTGCTCCTGGGAAACGCGCATCCCCTCTGGAGAGTCGACGCGGGCAACTCTGGTTCCGTCGCTGGAGCCACTCTTCATCCTTCTCGACTTGTCGAACCCCCCCCATCCGCAGCGCCTCTGGAGCTGGGCGCCCGCCCTGGGCCGTCCATTCACACACACACACACACACACACACACACACACACACACACACACACACACACACACACCTTCCTGGGATCCAGTGGCAAGGGCCCCATTTGCAGCTGGGCCAAGCGAGGATACGTCCGGTTTGGGCGCCGGTGTCTTGCCAGGCTCTCAAGATGAGAGGAAGTTATTTGGAGACCTAAAGAGCAGCACCCCCTCGCAGAGAAGTTGTGAAATTGGGAGCCTCACCAAGTACAGAAACGTTGGAGGGGGTCCAAATGCCAACACTCTTTAAGCACAAACTGGTGACTGCCAGGTTAGCCTACCTCAAGCACATGCGCAGTGTCCCAGGCTTCCCAGCCACCTGAAAAATAAACTTTTAATGCCCGCCCCCTTTTAGGAACACACCACCTTCTTCCTCTCCGATAATGGAAACACCCCCCTCCCTTCTTCCGTGAATAATCTTGCCTTGACAAAAATGACTTCGTTCAGATATGTGCAAATATTTAGTTAGGATGATCTGCTTTTTGACTGGCTACCACACCCAAAATACTAAACAGACCAAAAAAAAAAAAATCATTGAGAATTTTCTTAAGTAAACAACTTATCAAGTTTGCACTTTAAAGCAGAAATATCTTCGAAATGCGGAACAGAAAATACCCTTGAAAAAACAACCCCTGGCTCTGTGTCAGCCACAGTTGGACCACCCAGGACTTTACGCTCAGGCGAGAGGCATCTAGAAAAGCAGGACTCTGGACAGAGTAGTTCTTTAGTTGCTCCAAACCCAAACCTAACCAGAACTGACTGCCCAAATACCACCAGTCCCCACCCTTAGTCCAGTATGACCTGTCTAGTCTTTGAGGGACAAGGGTGACCACTACAACCCATGGGTCACGCTTTGCTATGTCAAAAAAAAAAAAAAAATCAAGGTGGGGTTGGCTGTTTGGCATAGCAGCAAAGATGCCACTGCTTGAGAGGCTTGTATCCCATGTCACAGTGCCTTGGATCGCCTCAGCTAGGCTCCCAGTCCCTGCTTCTGCTGGGAGGCACATCCTGGGCGGCAGAGTAGCTGGGCACCTGCGCCCTACATGGGCAATGAGGATGGAGTTCTTGGCTCCTGGCTTCAAGCCTGATCCAGCCCTAGTCACCGGGGAACGTTTCAGGAGCGGACTGGCAGATAGGCGGTATCTCTGTGTGTGTATCTCTCTCTGCCTTTCAAGTAGACAAAATCAAGGTCACCATCAACCACGCACAAAAGTAACAGATGTGGTCTGTTCAAATCATAAGATATGAGTCCTCAAAAAATGCAAGAGTGATACGTGCTACAGCACAAGTAAACTCTGAAAACGATGCTAGTGAAACAGACCCAAAAGGCCTGTATGATTCCATTGATAGAACATGATCAGAAAAGGCACATTTATAGAGATAAAAGGTTAAAAAAAAAAAGAGTGGTTGCCAGGTATCATTTTTTACATATTCATTTGATGTCATCTACTTGAAAGGCAGACAGAGACAGAAACGAAATACATCTTCCATCCGCTGGTTCACTCCCCAGATAGCCACAATAGCAGAGGCTGAACCAAGCTGAAGCCAACAGCCTGAAATTCCACCTGGGTCTCCCATACTGGTGGCAGTCTCCCAAATTTGGGAGCCATCGTCTGCTGCCTGCCAGAGTGCATTTGCAGGAACCTGGATCAGAAACAGAGGGGCTGGGACTGGAACTGGTGTTCTGATGGGGGATATGGGTTTCCCAAGCAGTAGCTTCACTTGCTATACCACAGCGCCTGCATACATACACACACACAGAATATTGTGTAAGCATAGCCTCTACTCTTTGGAGTCTCAACTCTTTCAACAAGGCCCTACCCTGACTATATAAAACCCCAATGCACCCCACTCGTCCACCCCCAACTTCCTTTAGCCTGCCTACCCTCAGTAGTGTGGCATTTATCATCTTCTAACGTGCTAAATAGTTGGCTTATTGATGTTTGTTTGCTCTCCATGTCTCCTCTCCCAACTCTCTCTCTCTTTCTCTTTCTCTCTCTCTCTCGCACAAACACACCAGAGAATAAGTCTCATAACGCCAGGGATCTTTGTCTTCCACACTCACTTAGGCCAAGACAGTCCGGCCCAGAATTGTCATTCAATAAATATTTGTTGCATGAATTAATGACTAAATGAATGAGTGATAAGCTCATCAATGTGCATCCCTCCCATTTTGTAAACATTTGGGGCTTGTTCATCGCTGCTTGGGAGCATGGGGGCTTCATGGAACCAAAATAAATTTGGAGTGTGGCAAAGAGTATGAGTCTTTGCCTCAAGAATTACAACAAAAACATAGCCAGGGGTCAGAAAGAAACTTCTTTCGATTTTTTTAAAACTCTGCTTTTGAAAAAAAAAAAGGTGCCTAGTAAGACACAGAGGCCAACCACACAGAGACGGCATGACTGAATTCTCAGGAGCTTGAAGCTGTTTAGAAACGGAGGTGTTTACCAAATAGTGAAGCTTTGCCAAACTCTGGCAGGCAGTAAGGAGAAATAGAGAATAACTTCGAATAAGAGATAAGACCCACGAGTTAGGTGTTAGGATAGGATCCACACTTGGGTAGGAGTGAAAAGTGATGTACATTCACTGTGTGGCCTGCAGCTTCCCTACTAAATCACCGTGAGTCTAGCTTATCTTATGCTTCCCTGTACTTTTTAAGACATAGCTCAGATGAAAATAACTGAGAACAGATGCATAAGCATTGGTTAAAGCTGCCAAACCTTTAGCAAATCTCACTGACTTACACCAAAAGCCACACAAAGCTTCAAGATTTTTTTTTTTTTTACCGTCAAAGTTCTATTTATATGACCAAATAGGGAAGTTCAGGGATTCCAAATTCATAAACAGATGCCCTGGTACCTAAAGAGACTTTGTCGGTCCTACATAAAAATAGACATGGATAGTCATACCAGTGTTCTTATTAATGCTGAAAGACAGGAACTAACTCAGCATCCGTCAGCCAGGCATTAAACAGATTATGTGCGTCCATTTAGCAGATGAGGGTACTTCAAAAAGGTTTCTGGAAAATTTGCATCGGAAGATAAGTTAGGGTGGGTATGGCACACAATGGGTGAAGCCTCCGCTTGGGATATTGTAAGCTACATCAGATTGTCTGGGATGGAGGGCCAGTTCCTCAGCTTTCAATCCAGCTTTCTGTAGTATATCCAGGAAGGAACAGATAATGTCCCAAGTACTTGTGTCCCTGCCTCCCATGCAGAAAGCTCAGATCGAGTTCCTGGCTCCTGACTTTGGCCTGGTCCAGTCCTGGCTGTTGCGGGCATAGGAAAGTGAAAACAGTTGATGGACCATTCATCCTCTCTCTCCACCCACCTCTCTGCCTCTCTGTTACCTTTGTATATACCTCACTCTATGTCACTCTACCTTCAAAAAAAGATTTATTTATTTTTATTGCAAAGTCAGATATACAGAGAGGAGGAGGAGGAGAGACAGAGAAGATCTTTTGTCTGATGATTCAATCCCCAAATGACCTCAGTGGCCAGTACTGCGCTGATTTAAAGCCAGGAGCCAGGAGCTTCTTCCAGGTCTCCCACACGGGTGCAGAATCCCAAGATTTAGAACCATCTTCGACTGCTTTTCTAGGTCACAAGCAAGGAGCTGGATGGGAAGCAAGACTGCCGGGATTAAAACTGGCACCCACATGGGATCCTGGTGCATTGAAGGAGAAGATTTTAGCTGCTAGGCCACCACTCTGGGCCCAGTTTTATTTTTTAAAGTTTTATTTTTAATGTATTTTAAAGGCAGAATTACAGAGAGAAAGAAAGATCTTCTATCCACTGGTTTACTCCCAAAATGACCAAAACAGCCTGGTCCAGCTCTAAATACAAAAGCTTCTCCCACATGAATTTGGGGCCCAAGTACTTGGACCATCTTGCATTGCTTTTCCAAGCCATTAACAGGGAGCTGGATAGGAACAGCCAGGGCCCATATGGAATGCTGGCACTGCAGGAGATGACTTAACCCTTAAGTTACAATACTGCTATTGGGAAGACATATTAAGTAGCTATTTTTAAAAAATGTGAGGGAGGGCCCGGCACGGTGGCGCAAGTGGGTAAAGGTCCTCGCCTTGCACGCCCGGGATCCCATATGGGCGCCGGTTCTAATCCCGGCAGCCCCGCTTCCCTTCCAGCTCCCTGCCTGTGGCCTGGGAAAGCAGTCGAGGATGGCCCAAAGCTTTGGGACCCTGCACCCGCGCGGGAGACCCAGAAGAGGCTCCTGGCTTCGGATCGGCATAGCATTGGCCCGTTGCGCTCACTTGGGGAATGAATCATCGGACGGAAGATCTTCCTCTCTGTCTCTCCTCTCTGTATATCCGCCTTTCCAATAAA